GCATCTTCCAACTGGTACGCTTTTCAACTGATCAGCCTCTTTACCTATCCGGTTTCCCATTTGTTTGGCTGCTTGTCATTGTAGTTGTTTGTTACTATTGAGTGAGGGCATAAAAAGAGATGCATAAGCGCCTGTGTTTTGTTGTGGCGGCTTTCCCACACAGCGAGTGAGATTATGTCAAACGAGACGTATTGTGAAAAGAACAGGGTGGCGCAGCGGCTTGAAGTTTGGGGGGCGTGGAACGTGCGCAGCCTATCTCCAGCGACCCCTGGGTAGCGCCTTATACAGCGATTGGGACAGAGATGAGCAAGCAAGTAATCCCACACGGCAATTGCTTGGTTTTCACCCATGAAGTGATCGTCGCTTGTACTAGCCAGTAAGTGTTGCTTCCACTCACCAGGAACTGACCTACTTATTGTCGGTTCTCAGTTGACAAGCACAACTTTTTGGGCAAGTGATCAGCTTCCCAACAGCTCTGTAAAACATTGTTCCGCTTGTGATTGCTGCTGACGCTTCTGCAGTGTTGACAAGAGTGTTGGTTGTGCACTACGTTTGTTGTGCACTACGATGGAGTGACTATTCATCTTTGCGGACACAGGAACTCCCACAGTGAAATGAGCAATCCGCCTCACAGCTTTGGGAGACATCTTGCCGCTTTCACTTTCTTAGTGCTTTTGCACAACTAGACTGTAAGAGCTAGCGAACGCATCCCAGCACAAGTGTGTCGCACATTCGGAAGTGGCGCTGGTGCTGCACATCTGAGACGTAACATTTGCTTAGGAATGTTGCATTGGTTGGGACAGCCGTGTTCCTTTGCAACGAGAAGCTCGTGACAGGTCGAAAAATCAGCATTATAAAGACGATATTGCAGGTTGTGAGTAGTGCTTTGGGATGCTTTTGGGCGAATTTACCTTGTTGATGAATGTGTTCGTGAACAAGCTCAACGTAAGACTTATTGCCCCTAGCTGGTACTGGTCCATGGTTGTAGACATCGGTGCCTTGGCTAAACACCGCTGTCATTACTGATTCGTGCTAAATTTGAGGCATTTACTTGATCCATTGGTATTCAAGTCTCGGTGAGGCAGCACTATTTCATGACCTCTTAAAATACTAGTGGAGTAGCTTAGTTTTTGAAGCGTCTACCGGTTAAAACTAAACAAAGCATTGCATTTCAAGATTTGGCGGACGACAGAAGAAAAACTATCCATCACCCTCCCACTGCAATAAGGGTTAAACATCAGTCACAGCACGAGCTTTCGTGAAACACGGTTGCTCATTTGTGACTCGAAATACGGAACATGAATTAAGCGATTGCCAGTGATTGCTACATTAGTAGTGCTCACTCTGCACAACTCGTTGATGTGCTGTCCTGCGGTCACCCCAATAATACAACTAATCAGGAAGTAAGAGTTCCTGTATGGCAGGGCGGAGTCCACATTCTCTTCCACGCAAGCTGAACTCGCTACATTCCGCGCAAAATGGAATATCGTCGTGCGCATGCTTTCGTTGAAGTCTTTTGCGCGTACAGTTACGTTGTGTGACATGGCTATGTGTATTGCTACAGAGCATAGCGTGGTTTTCGCCAAGGACCTATGCTCGAAGACCAAACATTGCAAAGACAGCAACGGAGCGCAGGAGGGCTGCCATAAGCGTAGCCTCGCAGTGTCACTCACTTCGCCTGCACTTGAAGCACGCCTCATGTCGTAGTGTGGGTTGCCGGTGCGTGTTTGCGGAGCACAAGTTTTGCATGTTTGGAACTTCACACTTTGCCTAGCACTGCTTTTCTGACATAGCGTCCGCCTCCTCTACACCCCTTGCGAAGTATTTAACGACGATGCAGACCCATCATTGCATAATTGATTTAAGTTATACAACTTCGTTTCGTCACCTCAGTGGGTGAGCATGCCAACCATAGAATCGTAAATATGGCCCTCAAATTACCTTGCCTTTTGCAAGATGCACAATTGGGCATACATGCTGTTACTAGTGAGGGCCATGGAGCGTGTCGCTATTGAGGATGATAGTTGTACAGGTTAATGATTGGCAAGTGAATTATTACGTTCAAACGTGGGGGGATATTCATGATTGTGCTGTGATTAGTACTAACAGGAATGTTCATTAGTACAATTCAACTTGTACTGCGCCATTCCAGTATATCACGCCGAAGATGCAGACTGTTCCCTGGAGACTGTGAGGTTTTCCCACGTGTCAATGAACGTGCGCCTGAGTGGTTTGGGAAAAAGCCACCCCGTGGAAAAAGCTAGAATAGCAAAAATATGTCATCACCTCATTTAGCAGCTTGCATCTCTTCACTCTTTGGTTCATGTGCCTGTCTGTTCTTATTGTCATCTTTTAAAATGTCACAGGGCAGTGACAACTTAACTTAATGTGTCAAGGATATTTACTTCTGGAGGAGTTTGTAGAAGCACGCTAGGCGCCTTGGAAGGCGGGAAGAAACTGGAGGCTTGACTAATCCATTAGAAGTAAAAGCGCGGTTGCGCGTGGGTAGTACTAGAAGAGCAAGCTTGGTGACTGGCGTATTATCGTGGTTTTCTTCTGTTGGTGGCGAACAGAGGGGCCAGAGCGGGGGTTCTGCGGGTGCTTGCTATGTGCTGCAATAATGCTAAAAATGAGCCCACGCTAGCCCCATGCAACTAGTATGGCTTTCCATGAAAGCACTCGAAGGTTTGCTGCTGATGTGTCAAATGCCAATCAAGGCACTCCGGCTAAGTCAGTTGAGCTTGCTCGTGCATTTACTGTGAGTGCTTCATATGGGATGTAAGCATGTGCAGTGCCTCATAAGTTCTGTTGATGATCTTGTTTTCAGTTCTCTCAGAAACAGTGCAGCGTGAGTCACTTGGCCTTTCTAGAACGTCCATGACGGCTTTAAAACGCTTTGGCTTGGCTTCATGTTCGCCCTTTGAAGAAGGTGCGTTTCTGAGACCTTCAGTATCTGGAGGAAATCTCGACAATGAAGCACGTTACCCTATAGCCAAAGCTGTTTAGCACTAAGTGGTGCTGCTTTGGCATTTCAGAAGTCCCGTGAGAGACTGCTATCTCGCGGCAAGTTAGACGCCGACAGTGCATGCTTGAGCCCCTGCATGTGGCTTGGTTGGTTGGAATCACTGGCTGCAATAAATAAAACACGAGAGCGACTATAGTACTCACATGTATATTTGACTCAGCAAGTAAGGGTGAAGCCTAAGCTGTAGTACGAAGATCTTCCCTAAGCATAGGGAAAAGAAGTCGGAATTGATTTGCTTAGAGTTGCCATATATTTCCAGGGACTGGCGCCGGGTGTGCTGGTGGAAGAGTTGCGTGTAATGCGGCATATTTCAAATAGGTTATTATGTAGGGAGTTGCAGTTCTTTCATGTGAGGGAACTAGTTCCGACCTGCTGCAACAGCCACGCTGCTGTTGTATTTGCGAGAGATCTGTGTGCTTGTAGTTCATGTGCCCTTGCTTGACAGCGATAGTCAAGACCCGCCCATGCCTTTAATTGGCAAGGTTCTCTTGCTTGTTTCCCTTCCTTTTTCTCCAGACGCTGCGCAAAGAGAAGAGAGGCGAAAGCTTTGATGTTGAATGCGTATTCTGCGTAGATGCTCTTAGCTTATCTTCAGGTTGTTAGTAACTCATCTTACCCTGACCATCATGCCCTGAAGTTCTGCTCGGGGATTCAGTTGTTATCTTCATGTTCATCATCGCCCGGAGCTCTGCTCGGGGAATCAAAAGCACGTAGTTTGTCTCCTTACCCTTTAGGCTGTATTACTTTAGCATTGCATCTCAGCATATATTCTGTGCCACCGGTAGAGAATATAATCTTTCATTTGAACAGAAAGAGAGTAGTAGACGCGTTGATGTGGGCACTCCAGCCCAAAGCTTCCATTTTTCAAGCTAGCAGCAACCCACTGTGACTCTTTCCACACGCATCTTATGAGCAGTAAGTGAGCGTCCACATCAAATGGGAAAGTGCGTGCTGCTGCTTACATCAACAACGTGCCCACAGGTTGGCATGTGAGAGTGATATGCTTGTTGGCACGCATGAAAATATATCGGGGCATTTGTAGCGGTGCGCTAATAGGCGTTTCCGTGAGGCCATCTATTAAGCGCTTCACAAAGATATCAGAAATCTTTCCGTCAAATATGCGTTGCAACGTAAAGAAATGAATGAGTTATCAGGCATGTTTGGGTGTAAACATGGCGTAACTGCGTGAAGGAATGGCAATTTGTGGTCGCAGCAGAGTGTCCCCAGGGAAACGAAAAGCTGGACACCGGAGCGGGGGCAAAGGAAGCTGCATCTTTGTGCACGACAATTGGCGTGCTTGTGCACAGGGCAGTGCTCGCTCTTTATTTCCGTCTGCTCGCACTGCAGCTGGCACCCCCGTGAGTAACGTTGTGTCTGCGGCGAACACCGCTCCACCCACCAAGTTTTCTGTGTCATGATTGCTGTCCAACAAAACCTCATATGCAATCAAGCTATTGATTTGCGCGTTTCCGGACATACATAATGTCGTAGGACTTTAGTCCATGTTTTGAGGCTGCAGCAGCCTGAAACAACCGGAGATGTGTCCCCCATTCTCTAGGTAGAACCAACTGCTGCCGCAAGAGGCAGTCTAGGAAGTTGCACATTTGACATACAAGTTGAGAGAAGCAACGGGTAGCTTTTCCGCACTTGCGGCTTCGCAACTACGAAAACGTTGCCTCTGTGGTTGGGAGTTTGGAAGCATGACCTTCGTTAACATCGAAGGCGTGTCTGCTCCCAAGTAGCGACTTCATTCCTGGAAGCGTAACGTTCTAAGTGGAGCATGTGTCTCATTCATACTGTGAAAAGTTGCGCACTTAAGCTAACTTGCAGTTGAGAAGCTCAACAGGGAAGGTTGGTGGTTCAGGGACTCTCGCCTCCAAAAAAAAAGTCAGTCATGCAATTCTTACGCAGTATGGCAACATGAACAACTTTCGGCGATTAAGGAAAAACGTCGCTGTCTAGAAGATAGACAGAACTACTTGGGATATGTATCTGAGCCTGTTTGCTGGCTTAAAGGTTTATTAGGATATCCACCGTGCTCGAAGTACCAAAAGGCACGCGTATGGGCAAGGCGTTCGTGATGTGCTCGCGTGTTGCTTGTCTCCCCAAGCTCAAGATTATCCCACAACTGCGGCCACCAAAAGACAAACGCATGGCACTTCAGTGAGCAAAAGAAATATAATGTACCATACAATGCATATACGTATTACATACATACGGTGGGCGAGCGGCCAATGTAACTTAATTAGGGAATATGAAACACGGATACCGCTGCACGGGCTCCTACTCTCATCCACAATGAAACACATAATTTTGCGTGGTAAACGCATGATTTTGTAATATTTCCCTCAAGTGCCACAACAGTCGCGTCTGAATGACAAATCGATCCGCGCTGTGCCAAATCATTGCCTGCGCATTGTCTGCATCTAGGGCTCGCCTTCGGTTCGTAAATGTCAATCCCATGTTTTTCGTAGCATCTCTTCGCAATTAAGTCGTAATCCCATCGGTTCCACAATTCGGGCACAAGATCTCCCAACTGCACTCGCCACATCCGTGTCACAACTGCGTGAACGTAGCCTGAGAAACCAAATTTTTTCGAACTAGAAAAGGCAGGTGGAATAGGCTCAGTGTGAGAATGGCCAGCCTTACTTGTTCGCGGTGTAGAGTCAGGTCTTTGAAGGCCTTGAAGTTGCTGCAACATTCGAACGCAGGCTACTTCAAGTATGTCAAAGTGCTACAGCCCTGAACTACAAGGCATCCGCTGGGAATAACAAAGGGATATTCACGGCCCCTACGCACGCCTCGGTATTCTAGGAGAAGCAATGCGATTTTTGCAGTCTGCCTTGAAGTCACACAGACTTTCCACACGTGCACTGCACGCATCACAACGGCAATGAAGGCGTTGTGATGCGTGCGCTGCACGTGTGGAAAGTCTGCGTGGTATGGAGGCACACAAGGCACTTAGATAACCCAAATCTCTTTGAACCTGAGATTAAACTCATAACTACTATGTCCTGAGCCGTAAGCGTATGATGTTGCGTACTCGTGAATCACTTCGCTTGTAGCCTTCCAGTTGCCGTAGAACGCCTTCATAGAATCCGTCGTTGGTACACGTTGTACCTGAGAACAGAAGCCCCGACGTCAGCGCTCATTGTATTCCACAGCCGCCACACTTGCAAAGCATCGATCTCAAAAGACAATCGAAACTGTATGGCGTCCATGCTAGGGCTTGAGCTGTTGAAGCTGCTTTGTGTGACCGCCGAAACGGGCGTTCACTAAGAAACGTCCCGGAGGACCCCCTTCTTTCTCGCCACAAAATTGCGTCGGAAGAGGATTGCACTGCTCCCGCTACTACTGCATCGGCAAGTGCAGTTAGTCCCACGGTTGTTTTATGTACCTTTCCGCCTTTCCAGCACAGGTGCCAGTCGAAATGATGCTGCTCTTGCTTCTCACTCGCCGTCATTTCTCTCAGCATACCTCCATCCACTGTGTGCTGATCCCAACCAAACAGCTTTTGCTCCTTCACCGCAAAGTACTCCCCTATTACATCATGCCCCAGAGAAACCTTTATCACCTCTCCATTAAACAATGCCACCCTTCAACGCTGACATTGCAGATGAAAGTGACGATGGTGCAGTGGTGCAGCAACTTGTATCCAGGGGCTGAAGGAAGAAGCAGCAGAATAGCTTCGCCTGAAATAAAACTGTAAACGGGAATTGTTGTGGCGCACCGGGCAAGCCTTCATCCAGCCTCTCTCTCCACAGCCGCACATTAATGACTCCCTCATCAGAAGGGTCGTCGAGGGCTCCAGCAGCAGCCTTAACCTCGCGCTGAATGAAAATATAAACATGAAAAAGGCAACGAACAGGCAATAGTGGAGCTTCCGTAGCTCTTCCAGATGCAGTGGATCCCCAGTGTACAGATCCATTAGGTGCACCACGCTCCTACTGCGATGCTATACATGCGGGGATGCCAATTAGTGAAAGGAAAGGAGCTTCGCCGTGCAGCTTTAAGAGACACTCTGGCGGGGGAGAAGGAGCACTCACCGCCAAATCCAGTCTGTCGTAATATTCCAACTTTTCCGCGAGAACTGGTTGCGGCTGAGCGAAGCGACACGTGAAGGCACAGGATTGGCAGGAGGCTATACGGACGATGCAGTGGTACACGGTCGAGAAGAGGCGCACGCCCAAATCACGACAGGCCGCGACATTTTAAAAAAATAAGCGAGCAATCGATAGAGAGTTCTACTTTCTGCTCTGCTCTGAATGCCTTTATCGGGTGGGTTACCACTGCTAGCGTCACTAAGACCGGCACACGTGGGACAAGAAGGAAGCTATGGTCTTCAAGCATTCAACGGAAGTATTTGGTGAGGTAGGTGTGATACGGTATCACGTGCCACGCCATGCAAAAGCAGCCACGCAATCTGCAGTTCATTGGGTTCCAGCAGCATGCTTGATGTACTCCTTTGCTCCATACGAGCAAACAAACACATTTTACCATACCCAGTTGTCCCAGTATGTGCCGCCGCTCCAAATGGGCTGCTTCCCCCACTTCATGAAGTCAGACTGAGATAGGGGCGGTTGCGCCTTGCACTCTGGGTCAGGCAAGTGGCTCAGCAGCTGAGGGCCGCCCATTGTGGGGGCAGAGTAATGCATATACAGCTCGTGCAGGTGCTGACTCAGGGAATTGTGCATGGCGTAGTTCTGCGTCCGCACGCTTTCCCTAATGCGTAGAGCACGTCAAAATGGTCTTTATATTCCTTAGAAGGGCTTAAGTATGCGTTGTGCCCACTTATTTCGGTTATGTCCTTCAAACGCGAGGCGCGGCTTCACTGACAGCCCCTTCCTCCTGCCGTCCCTTATACCCTCACTCCTATCTCCGGTAACTAAAAATTAAGTTCCACGCTTGTGCTTTGAGCCTGCATAAAAGCCCGTGGAGACTACGTAGGCAGGGACTGCTTTTAATGACACCGGCTTACCGCAGTTGGCCTAATGTCCTAGGTACGATGATGGTGGAAGCAACCTATGATCAACCGACCATAAACAGAGCCGAAGACGTAGACAACTCTTAGTACGAAATTTCGTAAGTTTCACGTTCACGGAATCAGGTAATGATCCAAATGAAGTGACTTAGGTTTACTCCATGAGGAGTTATTCCTGTTGTTCCTTCAATGTCGGGTTTTTCTGCATGTGGTTCCAGCACCGGAGCATTACGATAGCTACTGTGACACTGGGAACGCTCAAACTTCGGGTTTCAGAACTGCTGTTTTGAAAGGCTTACGAAGGGCCTGGAGTAAACCCAGCAAAGGGCGAGTTGAGCTGCCGTCAGTCCGTATTCGCGTCCTGCCTTTACCAGCTCCCCCATCAACCACTGGGCCCAAACAGACCTGAGGGCACCCATCGGTAAGTAGAGAGGGGCTCTGAAGCGCTTATCTCGCAGTCCTTAGTGCGGGGAGCCCATGCCTCACATCAAACAATCTTTTTCGATTACAGAGAGCCAAAAGGTGTTGGGTGAAACCGCACGTTTACGCTCTGATAGCCTTACCTGTGCGTATGGTAAGTAGACGGCCACAAGTTTGCCCGCCCAGTAGACGGCCCGTACGAAAGGTAACCGAAATCTTCCGGCTGCCTGTATCGGTAGGTTCCGATGCCACTTTCCAGCTCGTCCTGTCCCTGCCTCACATCGGGGCCTTTCGAGTGAAACCTGCACGCAACAATTCAACTTTTAGCCGAATATTTCACTGAATTCACCATCTTGTAGCACTTGAAACACCGCGCCTCTCACAGTTTGCTTAAACGAACGCCACTCAAATGGCAGTGAAGGCAAATTCTACCGAAGATGCACGGATGTGCAGACACTAGTTCCGCATCACTTCCAGTGAAAAGCTCGTCGTGCTCGCTCAATTCGATGGATTAAGTATCCACTTCTTGGAGCACCAGCGTTTCCGTACACAAGATTCTTCCCACTACGGTGCGCTTCCATATTTAAGGCAATGCACACTAAGCCTGTATTCACATACTAACGTGAGCATATTGTAGGCTTCTATGCACACACGTGTACACACTTGCATGTATACTTATTAATGGGCATTCATGCAGATCTCGGGTTGACGTATATGCGTGCGAGTATATGCGTGCGAGTATCAGCGTATGCAGACCTCTCCGGGTCGAGGTACTTCCCAGTTAAAATGCCTCCCGCAAGGGCCCCGTAGGCGAGCACAGGCACACCAAGCCTCGAAGCTATCTCAGGGATGCCTGAAAATAACCCAAAACAGAAACTTACTAGCAGCTTATTTAACCATGTTTCAACTCAGGTTTAAACGCCACACGATTTCAAGATACATAAAGACTCTCGTTGATATGAATCGCCAGTAGTCATCGGGGAAGCGCCAATACCTGAAGTCTCTAACTCGTTGCGGTGCATTATGTTGTACAGGTGCTGAGAGGAGACGATCCGTGGCAAGCTCATCTGTAGGGCAGTCCGTGGTAAGGTTAAAAGTGATACAGCCACATATACAGCCATACTATGGTGTTTTCCTTTCCTTAAAATGACTTTACACTGCCCGCAGATCTCGTGTCAGGTAGTGTTGAGTGCTATGTGGTAAGACTGCGCCTACCACGCAACTTAAAATAATAATGTATTTTTGAGCGGGACAGCAGGGCAGATCACAACGGTTGTTGGTACCACCTTGGCTGTCTTAGCTCACCTCCTCTGCAGCTTGAACCCACTTGAAAATCCCAAACGCCGTTTCGTTGCTGACGCCTATATAGCGCACCTGAGAGCAAGCCCAGCATACTGCGACACCCAGCTCTTTGCTGCAAGATATTGGAAATGAGGATCCTCTAAATCTGAACATTAATCCTGAGAAAATTTACAACTTGCAGATCATCTATTTATTCTTATCTACTTCCCTGTTTTGTCGTTTGTACAGTTCCCTGGTCTGTTGATTTTATTAAAAAAGTGACTTCTAACCACAAAACAGCGTCAGCCAACTAAAGTTGTTCGCCAGCTTCCCTGGCTCGATACCGGTACGGAGACACTGCAACGCAAGCTAGCTACACCCACTCTCCACTTTGGAGGTTAATAGTGCGGAGGAATACAAACCAACATACCTTCCCCTTTTGCATCAGGCCCGAAAGCATTTCCAGCTGCTCTTCAATGGGTACCGCATCCGGCCTCTCTAGCTGCATGGGACTCCCACATGAAACGTACACTGCACGGCGTATTTCCGATTTTGGTGTCGGGCAACAAGGTCCCTAGATAACACATTTTAGCATTTGCAGGGCACTAGGTGACTTAAGTGGACATACGCCCCAGCAATAAGTATCTTCTCCGAGCTCCTGGCGGGGTACGTAGCGGTTAGGGTCGGACAGCTGGAGAATGTCGATGCAGTCAATTCCCAGCCTATTCAGCATGTTGTCAACTGCTGCTTCCAAATCTCTCCTGCCGACATACGACAAACGCGTAGCTCATTAATAGTGCAGCGCCTGTGCTTTGCTAATGATATAAGACACTGCTGTGCCGTGTAAGGCGCTGCTGTGCCATTATACGAAAACAACATAGCTCATTAATAGTGCAGCTACTGTGACACGCTAAGAACACAAGACAGTGCTGTGCGCCCATACACTAGTAAGGGAGTCCAAATGGCAATCAGCCTCACGCCGTCAGTTGTTGAGTCCCATATGGCTCCCGAGCCCACCAGCCCATGGGTCTCGCCCAGCGGATGCTGCCTTCTGTTTCTCTCCCAACCGTTAGAGAGGCGGCTTTGACCGCAGCAGCGGCAGCAGCAGCAATTTCTGAAGCACTAGCTCCAGCTTCGGCCGCCTCATGAGCAGCAGCACACCCTACCGCCTCTTTTCGCTTCCGTTCAAGGGCAAGCCGCTCGTAGTCAAAGGCTCCCAATGAGCCACTAAGTAGCCGCACTGAGACACACAGTTGCTGGGCCTCTGCGCGCAAATGCCCTTCAGCAGCAACTGCTGTAGCTGGAAATGTAGCTGCTGTTGCGGAAGACGCAGCAGCTTTGTCAGGAGAAGCCGAAATGCTCGTTCCGCTTCTTCCACCTCCAAGGCCCCTATACTTTCGAAAAAATCTACGCAAGACCCCTCGGTGGCCACTGCCACAATGCTGTGGGGCGTGGGGCAGTGGGTCGAGCTCTCCTACATCCTGGGCAGCAGAAGTATCCCACAGCGACACACACCGCCCCTGCTTAAACCTACCCAAGCCTTACCAGACCCTCCTCAACCCTTGTTTTTAGCATCCTGTGGAGACAGTGCAAATGCAACAAAGTCGGCACACAAGGAGGAAATCTGGTTCTCACGTAGAAATTAATACCATAGTCCTCATACGCTGTGCACAGCATCTTGAAGGCTTCTTCGTCCCCCTGCATCATGTTGCCACCAATCAGAGATGTACCTACGCATAGACTGCTGACTAGCGGTCCATCCTGCTGAACTCGCTGCTGCTCATACTGCTCCTTATGTCCACTCTTTTGCCGCGGCTCGTGCCGCCCTATCTGCTGTGCCAGCGGGGAACCGAGGCGGCGGTAGGTGACTCCTGCAAGTATTGCAGACGGCAACAAGAGCGCATGCATGGTTTTCGATAAACCAGGTACTCAATTTACAGCACCAAAGGGGACTTCCTTACCCGCAACAAGTTCAGGATGCGGCAAACGCAAGGCCACAGGGAAGGCACTTTTAGCCTCTTCGGTCTCCTTAACCTTTCTCAAGGCCGCTAGGCGCAGTGCCAAAGCGGCATTCTTCTGAGACTCAGCTCCAGAACAGGGATTGCTAGAGGCCTTATCAATCGCTCTTTTGGGCACCTTCCGAATGCTCCTCCTAGGATCAAGCGGACCCTGTCCTCTTCGTGCGGCTTCCAACCTACGGTGGCGTGGCGCACTCGTATTCCCACCAAGTCGCAGCTTTGTGAACGCCGAAGGTCCGTAAAGCCGACTGCTAGGGCCGATGAGCCCATGTTCAGGAATGCCAAGAAATTGTGAAAAGCTTCGTACCTCTGAAGATGCCAACTTTCTCAGGCCTCCCCAATGCGCCTCCCGCGGAAACCACTGTGACCCTCGATGGCAGTTAGTCGGGTAGATCTGCGACAGACTGTGACGTACAGGCCCCTGCGAGTGAGAAAGCATGCGGATGGCGGTCAGAAAGGGAAAACTTTGGAGAAAGCCTAGCGAGTACACTCCGCAAACGATGAAGAAAAAAGAGCGCCATCCCTTGCTAAGACGTGGAGTCTCCATCGCAGGCATGTTCCCGATGCGCAGATAGCGTCCAACACATGGGGATGATGCAAGACACTAAATTCATCGCTCAATGCCCATTTCGCTCTCTCGCGCAGTCGAAAACGTCTTGAAGGGAATCCAAGAGGCCGCTGAAGTGTTGCGGTTACTGCTCTGGAGGGAAACACCTCATTTTCCACACTAGACTCGAATATGAAATACAACAAGCTAGTGTTCAAGCTGTTCACAGGCCCCAGGTTTATGAATAGGATGCACAGATCGAGCAAGATCTGTTACTGTGGCATGAAGGGCCGGACAACATAGCGTCCTGGAACGCAGAGACCATGAGGACCTTGCTTGTGAACATACTAAATATAATTCAAACATTGGCGGGTATGGCTTGTACTTATACACCGGCAGATGATATAATGGGGAACCCTATGCCTACGGGTTCCTGCCAAGGGATAAAACTGCGCTTGTATCAACAGCATTCATTCCAGCCAAATCAGTGCTGTCTTGGGGGCTGGAACAAAAGGGAAGAGTTAATAGTCCAGCGGTATATACTAAAAATGAGTACAAACGATGCTGAATAAATTGGCGGTAATGAAAGGATTCATAGCAATGCAGGAAGACCACCTCGCAGCACGGATGGCCGAGTGGTCTAAGGCGCCAGACTCAAGTTCTGGTGGACGCACGTCCGCGTGGGTTCAAATCCCACTTCGTGCATTGATCCTTTGTCCTAACCTCTTTTTTGTCCTAGCACACTACATTGTCATATTTGCTGTTAAGCTCACGATTTTACCCTTCTGTTGTTGAAACTTCATAATGTTGAAGTAGTTAACTGTGTTGTCCCACCTTGTTTTGTCACACTCAGTGTCTGCGTCCGTAGGTTCTGGCTCTCCATTGAAAAACATTGTTGCAGGCCATCACTTAAAGGTGCCCACAGACGGCACGCACTGAACTTTTTCCAAATCACGGACGTACTTTGTTTTCCTTCTGCACCCTGGCTACCCTCCATACCCATACTATGTATCTGTGACGCCACTGTTCGCTTGCAAGGAAATAAATGCGCCATACACTCAATGCAACCCCAGCTTCCCGGCAAAAAGCCTACTTATTTGGCTAAGCAGGTTCCCAGAACTACAAAGGCTTCCCGTAGCTGTGTACGCCTGAGTGTTGCAGCAAATCGGCTTGCATCTAAGACACTGCAGGAGAGTAGCAGCACTGACAGCAACATCTGGCGTTGCTTTGAGCCCAGAAGCAGTCAGCTCAACGAGCTGCCCTCCGTCCGTCCATCCACTGTGGTATACCTTGTCACACATTTTCGTCCCGTCACACGATATCCCAATGCTTCAGCAACACAACAAGAGATGTGCGAGCAGCGACGGGACCCCCAGGGGTTGAAAAACTGCAAGAAGGCGAATAAGGACTGAGAATGATAATCGCCAATACGGGTCCTCAATGAACCAAGGAGAGGCAGGGGCGAGGATTGCACGGATGGCCGAGTGGTCTAAGGCGCCAGACTCAAGTTCTGGTGGACGTACGTCCGCGTGGGTTCAAATCCCACTTCGTGCATCCTTTTTCCCTTTCACCTGATTAAAACGGACGCTACGAAAACAGCACCTCTCTGTCAGCTACGGGCGAGAATGCTCACGTTTATGTTAGCCTGCTATGCAAGCTTAAACGTGGTTCTGTTCTAGTGCATCTCTGTTCACGCAGTGCACACAGGTGCACACTCACGCCATTTGCACATATACCTGCTGCACACTACTCGACGCCAAAGCTGCAAAGGCTTGCGTTTCTGCAGCCGCTAGAGTATCTGCAGTTCCTCAGGGCCACTGTGTTGCTTGCTGCCAATCTGCTGGGAGCCACCTAATTTGCAGAATTTTCTACTTGAACCTCAAATGCATGCACGCGTGTACTCCCGTTCTCGTCTGTAGCTCAAACTTACACATCAGTTGCACTTCAAGACGAAATTCCTCGTTGATATACAGTATGTACTGTTTGCAAGAGTATCTACACTTCCAGATGCATACAAAAGTACAGTATGTGCATTAACGTCTATATACGCTTCAGTCTGTATGCACATTTGTGCATGTGCACGGCCGTTTGAGGGCATATGGGCCACATCGTAAAAGTATGAAGGTGTTAACGCTTCAAATCCACGTTAAGCATGAAGAGTTTAAGTCCGTGAAGAAAGCCACGGAATTTCGCGTACACCAAAAGGCGCCTCAAAATACACAGAGACAAACCGTTTAAGGTCCATAACTAGCAGAGAATCAAGGTCCCCTACAGTGGGACCAATGGTACAGAAAGCTCCAGATCTCCTTCCTTGATCCTAAACCCTAAATATCAAACCTTCTTTCTCCCGCCCATCAAAAGACGCACTCAGTTGCAGCTTCGTTTCGCGGTGCTTCCTGGTGAACGAAGAAGAGACTGGCTCAAATGGAGTAAAGGCCCCTATCTTTTGGGCCATCAATGTCGCCTTATTCAAGGAAATACCGCATACACATTAAATCTTTCTACAGAGGTTTAACTGGACCGAATCGACGGCTCAGTCTTCAGTGGCATCCGATAGGGAGGCTCCCTGTTTTAGACGGGCCTCTTAGTTCGTCTCTTCGTAGGTTGCCATTTATTTGGCTCTTCTGCACTTCTCGACTGTCTAGGCGAAACGAAAATATGGGGCCTTCCGAGTCGGTTCCGGAAATAGTCTTCTGGGAACCACTTAACCCCATTTTCGAGACTAGCCTCCACGGCCTCAGCCGCTGCACAACGCAGCCATTTCAGATCTAAGAAAGGAATTATGGGACGGTGAAGCCACTCGGGAAGCTGTGCTGATCTATCTTTCGTGGGGACTCGCTTCAGGGCCCTTTCGAGAGCCTTTTTGCCCTCGTCCATCGCCGCAGCAACCGCTGCAGTTGCTGCACTTGCTTCAATGTCGTCCGATGAAGGTATGGAAGCCCCTTCGGAGAGCTCTGAAACCTTCCCCGGGTAAGGAATCGCCTGAAGGGGACAGGGGTCAACCAAGAAGGAGGAAGGGAACATTGTCTTAATGGCGGTATGGTTCGGGGACACATGCAGTCGCCTGTAAGGCCCTGGCAGTAGCGTTGTGCTGCTAGGGGGAAGCACGGCGAGTAGCTGCTGATACGGTGAGATAGGCTGGGCGTGGGGGAGAGTAATCCGAAGCTTTGGAGCCCTCAGGGCCCCTAAATCTGAAGCCAAAGGTGAGTAGTTGTAGGGAAACTCCCAAGACCAAGAAGGGGTCCCACTGTGGTAATAATGTAACAAAAAGAACAGTCCTGAAATATACTTCACGCAAAGCTCGTGACGGAACACCCCAAAAGGCACTCCACGAACACGCGTAGCTGATGAAGAACTCCCTCCTAGTGATCCTTCTTCGTGGCTTCCACCATCACCGGATGGAAGGAAGCTTACACGGCCTTCAGCTGCCGCGAGGTCCTGGAGCGGAAATTTAGCCGCGTAGTATTCTGCTGCACGCTCTTTTCTCAGAGGACCTGGCGATCCCCCTGGCTCAAAGTGCGGCCCTTCCTGGTGAGAGATTAAAGCGAAGAATCGTATGAGTCTCGGGAGATGGATTTGGGTCTTGCGGGTCAGGGGGCCCCCTAGCACTGGGAGAGCCCTTGTGTACAATTGCAACAACGATGAAAATCCCCCAGCGTAAATATTTATGTGAGGCAGTGCAGGCAAAAAGTCATTCCCCACAAAGAACGAAAGAAGGACAAAGTCGTCCACCAGACGGCTTGCCTCCAGCTCTTGTAATTGACGCAGAGATGCCCCCAAAAAGGGCCCACGCGGGATCCCCCTTAAGGATTCCAGGGGATTCTGGCACGGAGGAGCCGCAAGCCCTACGCGCCGTATGCCTCTCATGGCTTCTGGCAGCTTCTTTCGCAGGCCTACCCGCGACGCTGCTGTAGTCGTGCTTTCTATTGAGGCACCGGTGACTTGCCCTTGTGGTTCTGCTGCCGCTGCCACTATTGCTGCTGCTGTTCCTGCTTCGTTTGCTGCTGCGGTGGCAAGCGAGCGAACAAGCTGGTGTCTGAGAGAATCAATACACACAACTTCGAAGTCCTTCGCTGTATAACGCAGGAAATCACCGGTAGCAGGCAGCAAAAAGCCACTAGATGCAGGTAGCTGCCCCTCCTCCTGTTGCTGTGGCTGCTCTTGCTGCTCTTGTTGCCTCCCCTTCCCTTCGCCGTTGCCTGCTTCACTTTGTTCATGAGGCTGTGCGTCTTGCTGTCGTTGCCGTTCTTGCTGCTCTTTCTGTTCTTGCTGCTGTTCCTGCTGGCTCCGTAGAGCGTCTTGAATGCGCAGCAGCACTTGCCTTGCTGCTGCTGCGCGTGTGCCTCTAAGAGACCGCTGCTTCTCCCTCAAGATCAGCAGCCCCGGTCGCTGCCGAGCCAACGCCAACACCAGTAAGTCTGCGTCTAGCCCGTACAGACAAATGCGGCCAGGAAGTGCGATCAGCAGCTCAGAAAGGTCCTGCTGCTGTTGCGGCTGCTGTTGCTGCTGCTGTTGTTGAATCGAGAGCTTGTCAGATGCAGTTTCACCAGGTGGCGCTACCTTATCTGTTGGTGAGTCTGCAGCAACGGGAAAGGCGACGCCAGCAGCAGATGATGCTGCTGCTCGCGTCACGTGCCGACTTGCAACAGCAGCTAACTCCTCAAACGATGGCGGCAGTAGCACGCGAAACGTGGCTGCTGGCTGCTTCTTCCTTCGCTGCAGCGTTTTCCGCTGCTGCTGGTGCTGCTGCACCTCACTGCTCCACGCTTCTGCCAAAGCAGCGTTTGGAGAAGCCCAGCTACCCCTGGTCAACAACTGCATCAATTTGTGCTCACCTTCCCCAGGCACATCAGCCCCGCTGAAGACTATAGCACGCATTGCGCCCCAAACTTTGCTGCTGCGCTGTTTGTACGCAATGAAGCGTCTCAGTGTGCTCTCTGCAACAAACATAAAATGTGTCCCAGGCCCTATGCTATTTGTGTCAAACCGGTTGTCCTCTCGTGAGGGTG